AATTGCCTCCTAACATCTGTAATCTTCATCTTGGAATTGACTATCATAATTCACAGCCAATGTTGCTTGTTGTTATAACACAATTTACAGAGGAGAACTAAATCTGTTTAGTAGCTGAGGTATACTCGTAGTGAACTCTGGTAATTAAATGTTTAATCAGAGTGTATGTCCAGTAGTGGGAACTACTCCTTTAAGTTAAGTATGTTGAATCTCTTTTAAGTGTTAGTGTAATCGTCATATTAAAAGGTCATAGTAAGAGGAGAATGCAATAGATACATCCAGGTTTAAGAAGAATGCCTGACTTTAATGTGATTCTATCCAGATTGCCAAAGGTGTATACATCTTTCGTAACAGATAGAATAACTACCAAACGCTTTTCTGATAAGTGAATTTTTGACGGGACTAGCAGGACAAATATCAGGACAGTTAGCCAACCAGTCAACAAATCTAGGGAATAGCACATATGCTCTCAGTAATTCTCATATGCTGTTAGCATACTGTTATTTCCACATGAATCTGAAAACAATTATTTGTTTCCCTATCTTTTGCTAGACCCTGTTATCCTTTTGTTTTACGTGAGTTGAATGTTGCAGTTTAGCATAGAAACTGAATGTTAAACGACTTATCTTTTAAATGATGAAGATTTAAAATTTGGGCTTGCTGTAGGCTTTCTAATCTATATACAGTGGAAACCGCCTAAGTAAAGACCGCTTAACTAAACAGACCTGATGAGTAAACACTTTTCTTTGGTCCCAGCAAATTTCATCAGTAATTATCACTATTAGAGTCCGGTTAACTAAACTCGGATAAGTAAACAATACCGCTTAACTAAACGTCTTCTCGTGGTCCCTGGAAGTAAATTACTTAACAAAAGAGACTGGATAACTAAATTAGCGATCACCACATAATCGGAAATTAGGGGCAGTCGTGTCAGTCTCCAGTCAAACAAACATCCTGCTTACAGCTCGCTGGTGTCAAGCAGTTGACAATACACTGACAACTGGAGGCCAGCCCTGATAAGTTGTTCATTGTTACATATGCATACATATACATGCATATGGTTGTCATTTGCAGGTTTTTATAAGTTTGGATAAGTACAATACCTGATAAGTAAACAATTTTGGCGAGTCCCTTGAAATTTTACTTATCAGGTTTCCACTGTACTAGATATTGTTGTTAGGTATGGATTTTACTCTAGTTCTGGCTATGGAGGCTGATGATGAATCATAATTCATAAGTGTATCTAGATAAAGAAAAGGTGATAAGCTCTGTTATAAGTTGCAACATATAATCTAATGTAAGTGTTACTTCTTTGCATTTGCAACAATGGCTGATATTTTAGACCTAGGAGTAGAGGAAGATGAAGTTATGGAGTTGGTGACGGAAGAAACTGATCAAGGAGGGCGCCAGGGAAGAAGTTTGTAAAATTCATCCCAAACATGGACTGCCCTGCCTGTCTGGCACCAAGAAATTCCTATCAAGGCGGGTGTTCAAGGAGCACTGGGCACGGATGCACAAAAGAGTGCACAAAACATTTGCATGCCCTGTAAAAAGATGCAAGAGTTCACGTTCATCTATGAAGGGTCTAAAATACCATGTAGCCCATAACCACTTTAATTCGAGTCATCACTTGTAATGTTGACAAACTGTGAGAGATGTGATTGTGGAGGTGGAGAGGAATGAAAATTTGATGGCCCCTGGGTCTACTGTTTGTCTTGGAAAACATGGCGACCCCAGGGCAAGAGGGCAGGTAAAGAGGGGAGAGCAGCAAAGCACTCTACTTCTTGCTCTGCCCTGTCTGTTCAAGAGTCACGGGCTGTTCATAAAGAACCATGATGGAGGAGCATCTCCCTCACAGGGCAGAACTTTTGTAACACAATAGGCAGTGTCCTGGCCTTGGACACTAGTCCAGCACGACTACTATTGTGGGAATATATGGTGGACTGTGTAACAATATTGATCAATCATTTCGAGAATAAAGTGGATAGTCTTTTGACAAGTATGTCAGCTTGGCGGGTATCTCCGATGACAAAATATGACTGGTGGTGTTCCAAAGTAGTCATGGTAAGCCATTTTATAATCTTGGCAGTAACTGGCCAACTCCAGAGAAAGAGCTTGCGTCACACTTTTCTGAAGTGACAGATCCACAATATGCGTTCGCGCCGTTACAAAAATTAAAACAACATCAGGAAGAAAGTGTACAGGTTTTTGGCCTTGGCGGAACAGGCATATAGACGTATAAGTTGTCTGTCTATGTGCTGTTTGTTGTGTACAAGAACGTAACGAGGTCAGCTTAATATTTTGTTTTTCTACTTGACTGGATTCTCTTGTGTATCAGAAACATTTTCCATCCACACATGACTATTGTTGTGATCAATGCTCTGCAGTAACTCATCAGTTTACCATACATATCATCATATTAAAAGGTCGTAGTAAGAGAAGAAGAAATTCTGGATGCATAACAATAATTCTACCACGATGGGATTCTGAATTCAATCCGATAGTGATATCTGATGACGAAGTTCCTAAAAGAAAACTATCATCAATAGATACATCCAGGTTTAAGAAGAATGTCTGACTTAAATGTGATTCTATCCAGATTACCAAAGGTGTATACATCTTTCTTAACAGATAGAATAACTACCCAACGCTTTAGATAAGTGAATTTTTGACGGGACTAGCAGGACAAATATTCGGGACAGTTAGCCTTGGTAGAAAAGGAGTATAGACATATAAGTTGTCTATCTATATGTGCTGTTTGTTGTGTACAAGAATGTAACAAGGTCAGCTAAATGTTTTGTTTTTCTACTTGACTGGATTCTCATGTGTATAAGAAACATTTTCCATCCACACATGACTATTGTTGTGATCAATGCTCTGCAGTAACTGATCAGTTTATCATACAGTTCACACACGTCTGGAAAATATCACAAGAAATAACTGATTTAGCCATGGTCAGACAAGTAATAGTGCAATAGAGTGCTTTTCATTCCATATTGTAATAGTCAACAAAAAGCTGATGCATTGTGTGTGAAACATGAGGTTTACATTTATCATTCATTCTACACACGAATATAAAATTGATCCCATAGTTCGCGACGGAGTACAATTATCAAATTCAAATTGATTCCGATCCAATGCTAAATCATTCCATGTCATCAGTTCTACAGAACATACTCACAAATTACTTAGACGAGTTGGTCAATTATCAAACAGAGACTTTCAACTTGTAATTTTGGTTCTCACTGGTACATATAGTGGACGAGAGCCATTTTACATTCGACAGGGAAATTAGATGTTGTTCCAACTGAGCGAACCGCCATTGCCATCGCATTGAGCCCACGTGACCCAGAAGTGCTGATGTCACGTATCTTCACATTACTGCTTGTCACCAGCCTTACAGGCTGTGCTTTATACAAGGGAAAATAAAAACTTACAGGAATATGTGTTTTTACCGTTTTCTTTGAATTGAACTCGATCTTCAAGAACCGGTTTGTGACTTCACATCTTACCATTTATCTTTTAATTGTGTATTAATATGTTGGGCACGATAGTGATGCCAATCACATTAATTCCATATAGCCATTTTTTGAATTCAGCTGAATTGGACACAACCTCGTGTTACTTATAGTTATTTATAATTTGGTTTTGAGTTTACTGTCTTAAATGCATCATGTTAATTGACTACATATGATCATAAATGCTTAATGAGCGCCACCTGTAATGAGTCACAATGTTTTAAGTTTTGAGTGTGGGCTGTGGGTCACATTTCGCATCATATACAATGTATGTTCAATGGCAATACTATTTTTAGCGGTACGCCTTTATGATAGCGCTGCTCTAGAGTTGCCTGCCTTGGCTATATTATGTTTTGACTCCTGGTCGTATGTTCCACATGTTTCGAGAAAGTTCTGAGTGGATAAAGAATGTTCAAGACTCTGTGTCAGTATATATAAAGGCTGGTTGTTGTGTTGACACGGGGACTAACACATGGAATTACATGGGACTTTTCATATCACTGGAGTTGTGTGCATCTTTCTGCCGTCACCTACCCTCGTCTGTCTGTCAACATTGTCTGACACTGCGTGCCTGTTTACTGACATTGAACTACATTCATTTAGAATATCTGATCTCACTGTAATTTACCAAGGCTCGTGGTGAGTTGATATTTTATATTTGTGACTCAATTGCATGTACTAGAAGTCTGTATTGTGATTCATTGTATCTTGCTCATAGTTTGCTCAATATATTATTGAATAGTTTAGACTTGTCTGTGTTATATTTTGCTGGTTCACATGGGATTCTTAAACCGTAACAATATTATTCTATATTCATCATACTTCTATATTCATCATATATATCATATGTCATCGTGACATTGAGCAACCAAATAGCAAAGTTAGAAATTGAATAGAATGGCCCACAAAGACCTATATGCAAGTAGAACCAGTCATCAAGAATATTTGAAGCATGTACAGACATTTTTGTCATATTAAGCTTGAAAATGATATGTTGGCTCAAGGGCATTTATCACCCAGACCCGTAACACCAGGCCAGTTACTGATTCTACTGAATGTCATAAAGCCTACCTATGTAATGGATTCTGGTTAGTAAATGATCCAGGAGACAACTTAGTTTCGGTCAGTTGTTGAGTAAAAGTTTCTGGCGATTAAGTTTAGTGCAAGTTTTGACACCTAATGATACCAGGGTCACTAATTGGACAAGTACTGAATTGCAGTGCCATTTTTAAAAATAAGCCAGCTGCTTGTATTATACAGACCCCTAAAAGAATGCGAGGTTCCCAAATTGGACAATTACTGATAGGGCCCGTAAGTATCGTGAGGCGCTACTTCCAGTACTAAGCTGGTTCCGAGCTCCCATTGCATGCGCTAACTTGTGATATGCGAGACAGGGCCCAGCTTACTTTTGGTACCACATTTCCGGTGACAAGCATATGTTCAAGAACCGGTTCTGGTTCCAAATTACACGACCACCAAATATGACTTTACTAGACTGGACTAAGTGTACTACTATGCTTGGCCGTCACAGCTGTTGACAGTCGTAATAGTTGGCTAAAATGGGGATAGTTAGATTGGAATTTTGTTATTCCAACAAGGATTATCGGTTCCTTACTGTAAACTGGCAAAACCAAGACCATTCTAAAAGGTATGAAACGTTGTTTGTCACCTGAAGTACTAAATAATGTAAGGTCTCATGAATTGCCATGACCTACTTACGGGCCTATTGACAGTTGTCACTGGCCGATGAAGTTATGACAAGGTCCCCATGACCAAGGTAATACTCATGCCATTAGCTTTAGTAGTGAGGCTTAACTTTACTCTGATGATGCCACTCTGCACACTTCTGGGGCTGGATAACTTGATGATGCTCTCTGACTGCTTCGGACAACTTGATGCTGGGAATGTTCCTCCAAGTCTCACCACACTTTCAGGGCACGACTCCATGATGTCTGTGTGACTTCAGACAACTTGATGTTGTGATTGTTCCATCCACTGTCACCTCACTTTAGGGCATGAGCCCATAAATAATGTGGTAATTCTGATTCCATAAATGTTACCTGGATTCCACTGTGAAGCCTCTTCTGGTGAATTGTCATGCTTCATGATGTTGCAAACACTTTCCTCCTCCTCCTTGACTGCAAGTTACCTGAATGTGAAAAGCTTCCTTACTGGTGTTAACAAGTCCCTGCTCTCTCTATACTTGAGACTTGGTTCCATTATGAATCCTCATGTGTCTCTTCAGATTACTTCCCAGTGTAAATGTCTTTCCACAGTCATCACACTTGTAAGCCTTCACTCCCCTGTGATGCATCACGTGAGACTGTAGTCTGTCAGCTCGTGCAAACCCCTTCCCACATTCACCACACTTAAAAGGTTTAACAGTACTGTGAATCCTCAAGTGTGTCTTCAGATACCTGCTTTGTGTAAATGTTTTCCCACACTCACTACACTCATAAGGCTTCACACTATTGTGACTCTGAATGTGAGTCCGCAGGGTAGCTGCTAGTGCAAACTCCTTCCCACATTCACCACACTTAAAAGGCTTGACACCACTGTGAATCCTCATATGTGTCTTCAGAGTATTTCTCAATGGAAACGCTTTCCCACACTCACTACACGCATATGGCTTGGCTCCACTGTGACACAGGTTGTGAGACCTAAGGCTATCGGCTCGAGCATACTCTTTCCCACATTCAACACACTTAAAAGGCTTGATACCACTGTGAATCCTCATGTGTGTTTTCAGAGTATCTCTCAATGTAAATGATTTCCCGCAGGCATCACACATGTAAGGCTTGATTCCACTGTGAGTCAGCATATGAGACTGCAGACTACCTGCTTGTGAAAACTGTTTCCCACATTCACCACATTTAAAAGGCTTCGTATCACTGTGAACCCCCATGTGTGTCTTCAGAGTATCTCTTCGGGTAAATCTTTTCCCACACTCCTCACACTTGTAAGGCTTGATTCCATTATGATTCATCATGTGAGTTTGCAGGGTTGATGCTTGTACAAACTCCTTCCCACATTCAGCACACTTAAAAGGCTTGATATCACTGTGAAGCCTCATGTGTCTCTTCAGATTATTTCTTTGTGTAAAAGTTCTCCCACATTCAGCACACGTAAACAGCTCGACTCCACTGTGACTCTTCATTGTGTCTTCAGAGTACCCCTTAGAGTAAATGTTTTCCCACATTTAGTATACTTTACAGCTGGAGTCCACAGTGAAGACCCTTCTGATGTGTCTTCATGCTCCATGATGTTTTAAATACTTCCCCACACACATCACACTCAAGGGGCTTTATTTCACTTAGACTCATTATGTGTCTCTGCAATGTACTTGGTCTTGTAAACATATTCAACACACAACTGAGTATTGTCTCTTCATGTCATGACTCTCCATATCTTTGCATGTTCCTAGATGATGATGTTGTAAACACTTTCCCACATTCATGTTTCCAATGCACATCACCGTGGTAACTCTGACATGTCTTCATGTGTGTCTTCTGGTGGCTATTTGCCATGATTCTATCCCACACTTTCTACAAAAATAAAATGTCAGTCCACCGTGATTTCTCAAGTGTTTCTTCACCTAACTTGCTGATGAAAATTCTTTAAAGTACTCACAACACTTTTGAAGCAAGACTCCATCACTGACATCTCTATTTTCCCAAACTTGCAACACTCAAACAGCTTTACTGGCACAATTATTGCACTTCTTGGAATCAGCTGTTTCCACCAATGCTCTCTGACAGTCAGGGATTCCCCCTTGTAAATCATTAAGTGGCTCTTGAGATCAGGTAGTTGAAAAGGCTCTCTCCCAGTCCATGATTACATCTGTTTCAATGACAGAGCCAGGATGTTGTGGTTGGGTTTGTATTTCCATCATGTACTGTTGGATCTTCTGATGTTAACTGAAAACATAAGAGAGTTGTCACTTATTGTTTTTCATCTATATAACATGTTTCCACAAAAACCTCACAGTAACAAACAGGGCTGGTATGAATCAAGCAAAGTCAAGATAAGATAATTTAACGAAATGAAACCAACTTGCACCTAGTGCAACCTTAATCTTGCCGCTCCAGACAAAACAGGTTGCACAATATAAAATCATATATCATGATATATAATGGTTTGGTTTGTTTGTTGTTTAACTCCACACTCAGGCTCAGCCGTGTTCCAGATATATGGTGGCTGTCTGTAAATAATCAAGTTTGAATAGTGGCGGTTAGTCTGTCTCACTTTCCCTGAACCACATTATTTTCCCTATTGCCAAGCCCTATTTGCAGTGCTAAAGCCTAAAACAAAGCAAGTCTAGATTTCCTCAGGTTCAGGCAACCATGCGCATAGCTCTCATATTCATCGGAAACTTCTTTCCCATCAGCATTTTTTTACGACACCACCAAAAACAGACTTCAAATTTTCTGGCAGGCCAGTCTCAGTCATCAATGTTCCAATAGCACCCACGAAACTTATCAGCATATGCATTCCACCCAATCTTGGGATCAGTTTCATTCAAGTAAATAATGTTGTAAACATTTAATTGAATTTATTCAAAGTTACTCTGACAGCATTTTGTTACTTACTAACTCCTATCAATAATTCTGTATTGTAGAAAACATGAAGTGCCCTGGAACAACTGTGTTGGATTTGCCAGTAACAACTGCAATGTAATGATCGGCAAAAGAAATTCAGTGCTGTCCAGAGTGAGGGAAAAGCAACCAGATTGTTCAACATCGGATGCATATGTCACTTAGCCAATCTGTGTGTCAGCAGGCGTGAAAGAGTTCTCCTTGGCAGTTGACGAGTTGTTGGTCGACATATACTTCCACTTTGAACACAGGTATGTGAATCTTGCCGTAATCAAGAAAATATCAAATAATCTCTACATTACATTTTTTGTGAAAACTTTATATACTTTCTTCAATTATTGTATTAACATATGGTATAACCTAATATGGAATTAATATTTTAACATTTCTAAGGAGTTTAACATTTTCAGGTTGCCTCTTGTATCCTGTGTTTATTATTCTTTCAGTTCCAAAAGGAGAGAGACCTATAAGCAATTTCAAGAATTCACAGAGGTTGACAATTTAGATATCCTAAAGCATTGTCAGACACGTTGGCTCTCCCTGGAGAAGGTCATAGGTCGAACCATCAACCAGTTCCCTGCCCTAGTGAGCTATTTCAAGAGCCACGCTGACAATGAAAAACCAGGAAGAGTGAAGCGAATTGCTGATGACCTTTCATCTCCAACCACAAAGCTGACACTGAAGTTTCTGGAATACATTCTTCCTGTCATGAATGAATTCAATAAATTGTTCCAGTTAAGATTATCTAAAAGGAAAGTCCTTATCAATGAACAGTTTAATAAATATTTAACTTGTGTTTTCATCTTTACCAATAAACAGTTCAATAATTACCTTGTTACTATTTTATATCATTGTTATATTTGTATCCTCAAACGGATATATGTACAAATTTAAATTTGACTGAATTGTCATTTACTTTTCAGGCAGATGAAATCAAGATTGGTGTCATGGCTGCAGAAATGGACCGGCTCCTAAGGAAGCTGTTGGTAAAATTTGTGAAGCTCCAACACATCAGAGGTCAAAGTGATCTGAGGGAGATAGCCTACCAGGACAGGGATCTACAGCATGGTGATCAGACACTTGCCATTGGGATGGTGACAAGAGTCTTCCTGTCAGAGTGTGAAGATGAAGGTTTGGATCCTGATGTAAAGAACTATTTCTTCAGGTAAATCTAAATGATAGTTATTTTTCCTTATGTCCTAAGAGTTTTCTGAGGTTTTGAAAGACTTCATGATAACTTATCCCTAGTTACAATGCATTGGGTTTTTTTCCAGAGAAGTGAGGTCCTTCTACTGTGCAGTTGTGGGAAAAATGCTGAAGAAGTTCCCATTTGATGATGGAGTTCTTCGTAATCCGATCATCCTCGATCCTGGGAGGCGAGCTGACACTGATTACTCAAGAAGTAAGATTACTATCCTTCCTGATTTACTTCTTAATGTATTGTTTCAGAGAATATCAACCATTTAGGCCTAAAAAAAAAGAAGCTTGTGGTTCTGATTTCCCGACCGAGCCTAAATATTCCTGCCGAGCCTAACAATTTTACTCACCACATAATAAATTAAATTTATTTTCTGACACATGACTTCGGTCATAGTCCGATAACATTTTCAAATGACCGACTACTTTCTTACTAATTAGGACACTCCGGACGATCGATAATTTCGATGTTATTTTCACATATTGGACCTAATAAATTACGAACATTATCATTTACGAATTCATCAAAAACTAACCACGAAATCTTGATCAGGTTTCCGCGGCGTGTATGTATTTACGCATCCATTTTTATCACACTAAGCTACCAAATATACATGTAATGGATTGCGCGATTGGCTGCTATTTTAAGCATTGGACAATCAGAAACGGGCTTTCCCGACCCCACTCGCATGTAACAATGTTTCAAGGAAATCATTAAATAAATTGAATAAACTAATGAATAAAATCAACAACAGCATTCATAAAAGTTGTCAAAGCGTACATATAAAACTACTATTTCCATCTTTTTTGTGCGATCATGCAATGCGCGAGTCACTGACAAGTGACATCTCGGCTTTCGCCTCAATCTTCACGCTTGGACACGATGTTTAATGCGAAAATATATGCATGAAGCATTTTTGTCACAGGTCATAACCTAGCACGACCGTCCAATAAGTTCCATAATTTACATATACATAGCGATTTAGGTGCTTAATATGTTCGAATAGCATTATTTTACCCATAACTTTCGTCTAAATATAAAAGTTTTAAACTACGAGGACAGTATCCATTGCCGTAATATGATTGGCTGCCTCATGTCCGCGGTCTGATTTTGACCAATCACAACTCTTATAGCAGACTGTGGCTTAAAAAGCGTCATTAGAAACCAATCTTTATCCAATAAAATCGCTTCTTACAACTGTGAAAATACTCTCAGCAAGGGTATAGTAATATTGTTGATGTTCACAGCTTTGAACGATACCTGCCATCAAAGCGATTAAGCCTCGCATGTTATTCATCTGAAGCTTCAAAACGGAGGTATTTTCCGTTGTTGTGTCATGTTACCGAAAGTGGAAAGCCACTGATATCGGGAAATAGGCAACCATACATATTATTTAAGAAATCTTTATAATATAAAGATTTCTTAAATAATATATGTATGGATATATAAAGATTTCTTAAATAATATGTATGGTCGCCTATTTCCCAATATCAGTGGCTTTTAACAATTTTCTGATTACGTAAAAATGAAAATATAAAAGAAAAAGGCACAGGGATGTTATGACATGTCACAAATGGAAAAAAATCGCCATAGTTTTTGCTTCTTTTGTGATATTTCTGGACATTATAAATGCTTGCATTTTCATTAAAAAATCAATTTATTTAAGTTGTAGTTGTATTATTTGAAAAATGTTAGAAAAATAAATTTCATATTTATCAACAGTGGGATTAGATCTTTTAATTTTGCTGTATATCTAGAATCCAAGTTGCAACATTAAATGTCATTAACAATTTAGTTACATGATGGCATTGGGATTTAAAAAATGTCAAAAAGAGCTTTAGGTCAATGGCCTATCGCCAGACACCCACTCAGGACATTTGTCCTACTGATTTTTATAGGCTTCAAAATCACTGCATGAGTAATGTAAAAATATTTTGCAAAAAAAAACAAAAAAACCTACCTACCTACCTACCCTAGTTCTGAAATGTAGGATATCGGAACCATAACATTTATTTTTTGGGGCCTTACTTGAACAAATTATATTTCATTGAAAGTTAACAAGTTAAAAACATTGAAAGGTAACAAGTTAAAAACTATCAGTGTAAGAATATATGTGTATAATAAATTTATTCTAAGAATATTACTGTCTGTTTTTCTTCTTGATGTATTGTTTTACAGAGTTTCAACTTTTACTTGATTGTAGGTTGTCAAGCTAAACACTATCAGTATAAGAATGTGATAAATTTTCCTAAAATAGTTATTATGTTTACAGAAACACAAGTACTGAATTGACTGTTTCAAACTATTATTTTATTTATATGTTTACAGTTTTTGCATTTGTGTATTTCAGTTGTCAGCCTTGCCAACAAGTTCAGCTCCAATGTGAACCTAGAGGAGCTGAAGGAAGAGTACGAGGACTACCACATTCCCCTTCAAGATGAATCTGGGAGGAGAAAGGCCACAGACAAAGTTTGGAGGAACATTCTTCAAATGAAAACCCCCATGGGACAAGTGAGATTTCCTGTATTGAGGAAAGTCATGCAAGCCCTGCTTTGTCTTCCTCACAGTAATGCTGACTGTGAAAGGGTGTTCAGTCAGGTGAGGAAGATCCACACAGACTGCAGGAAGAACCTGAACAGTGACACCCTGACTGTCCTTCTTCAGTGCAAGTTGAACACAGATGCCTGTTGTGACATTCAACCTTCAGGACCACAAGTTGACCTGGCCAAGAAGGCAACCTATGCCTATAATAGTGAACACCATTGAATAGTCTTACTGTAAGACTCACTGACCTGGCCAAGAGGCAACCTGTACATATAATGGTAGACGCCAGTAAATAAATTATTGTAAGACTCACTCATTTTATTATGTTTTTAATCAATAAGAATCTTAAGGACATTTTAAGGATTTTGGGGAAATCCTCTACAGAGTTGCTGTACATTGTGTTGACATGTATGCTAAGTAAAAATTTCAGACTTATTTTGCAATTGCAAAGTGGGTTGTTTAGTTTATGGATTCAAATATATCAAATGTGTGTTTTTGATATCATAGCATACGTAATAGACATCATATTTTACATGATTAAATATTGAGGTAAAAAAACACAGAAATAGGATCAAATTGGATCAGTCACTATACCATCCAAACATTTGAAAATGTGAAAAAGCCTACACTGCTGGGATACTTTATTACTATCAGACAAGAACTACCGGGGATATTTTCAAATAACGGCATCTGATGGGCATCCACCCTACCTAATGTCCCACTGGTTAGGTTGAAGAAATTCTGCCAGGGTGGACAGTAGCCCAGTCCCCGTGTCCATCACGGTCGTGGAAGCAGAGGCTGACCAGTTTGCAGCTAGGTTTCGTAATTAGACTGTTGGCTGGAAACAATAATCGCTCTAAATCAGTGGCCCTTTAAAGTTTTAAGTGATGACATCATCAGGAAGTACAAAAAATGTGTTGTTGTTGTTGAGGATATTTTGTTTATTTTAAGTTAGATTGTAATTATTTACAGCCAGACACCAAAAATAGATACGTTGCTTATATACATGATTTGGTTTAATTATATTTCGCAACTATGCATAATGCTCAATGCTGATTGAGGTCCAGTAAGGAATTTCTCTAAATAGATGGTCTTGAGAAGCAAAATTCACAAAAAACACTACTATTGACACCAAAGCAAGGTTGTGCCCAAAAGGTGGATTTGGCTGCCGGACTATGTGAAAGTAACCAAAATCAATTGGGCCCTGCCCATTCCCTAAATGATGCTTGGTGTCAAATATGAAGAAAATCCAGAGAGTGGTTCATGAGGTATCTTGAAGGTAACTACCTTCATGTGGGTTAACTTTGTAAGAAACACATATTGGCCATCACAATTTTCGGATATCAACATAATTGAATATATCTGGCTCATGATAAAGCCAGACCTCCAACCCATCGCTCACCTAATTTCAAACTGTGATGAACTTTTCTCTGGCGAAAACGTTGATATGGAAACAGTTAAAGGATTGTACAACACACTTCCGGCTAGAATTCGAGAAGTAATCAGAATGAAGGGTTATCTGACAAAATATTTAGGTATGTCATTCATTTCTGTTTAGAAAACGCCTCTTTTGTGAAAGGCATGAAATGTAAAGAAACGTCCGACATTTTGAAAGTGACGAATACTTATGTCCCACGACTGTACAACTTATACATACACATTTACAAACGCAGACGAATTTGCAGGGTGAAACGTTTTGGAAAGCATCATCCTGTCAAATACGAGGATTCAAGAGAATTCACCCCAAAATCCTGGGGTTATTTAGCTCAGAGCTGTAACGCGGTCAAACAGTCGCCATGATCCCCGCATCGCGTCTCTCGGCAATGCCTAAAGACAGGCCTATTTAGTATTTCTAAACATATTTCGAGTAAGAACCACAGAAACAACTTACTGAACTAACATGGAGGCATGTGCCTTTGACTATCAATCTGCCCCTTTGGCTTTCAAAACTGGGCACACACTTACCTTCCTTACACACATATGTGACATATTTCGAAAGCTGGAACCACCCGTTTCGGTCTCCTCGTGCATTATGATCAGCGGTTATGTCCCTTTGATGGTTTGTCGAAGGGACATCACTCCAGGCGTATCACACAAAGTGATCTTTCTGGGAACAAGGCAGTTGTATAAGTTCAATTCCAACCTGGTCATTCTTTTTTTTTAAATTTGTGTCATTGAGGAACTGAAAAATGACAATATCTGAGTCCCATTTCCCAAGTGAATGATATTTCAGAGAGCAAACCAATAATTAGCAAATCGTCATATTAATATAAGAGAGAAAGGCTGAAGCGGAGGGTTCTAACCTTCCCTATGGACAATAAGCAATGAAATGTACTTCCCATCAAAAGTTTAGGATCATGCATCAAACTGCTGAAAAGCATGTGCAAATACAGTATGTGAAATATGGCAAAAACCCAGCCAGACATCATGGCTGGTAACTTCAAAATGTTACCAGCCCAAAATGGATTTTACCAGACCAGACACCAAGATATGGTGAAGTTACTCAGATGTATGGAAAGTTTTTACCAGCACCACCGGGCTGGCTAGCTGAAAAGTTAAACCGTCCGTCATAAATCTTGCCCGTCTCGGGCGGTCGGTCGGACGGGCATTATTTCATACACTGGCAAATATCGTGCATGTGAACAGCTGCGTTTTGGTGTAAAGTTGTGATAAGAATTCGCCAATTTTCACTGATATTTATTATTTTTTGAACTCATGACAATAATCTTTTCAAGGTTACGAATTTGTTTTACAATACATCAGTTCATGTGTAATCAGTATCTTTAAACAGTATGGAATATTTTGCAAAATTTAGTTTAGAACATTTGCCTGAAGTAAGTGGCTATATTAACACTAGTGAGTCTAAACTTTTGATGGGAAGTATATGAATGTATTCTGTGATCACAGTTTGCGAGTTTGTTATTATAGAATTACAGACACATTGTTGTGATCATGATGCAGATTCAGAGATTGAATACGCGATAAAACGGGATTTACCTAATTACATAAGTTGTTTTACTCCCTATACAATACCTCACTTTGTGAAGGTGTTCTCGGTCGCGTTTGGCCCCGCAATTTTTCTGTTCAGAGTTGATTCCACAAAATGTAACAGGAATCTATGGTCGACGATCGTGCGTTCACATCCAGTGTGCGTGCGTGTGTGTGTGTGTGCGTACGTGCGCGCGCGCATGTATGCGTAGTATTTTCTTTAAATGTAAGGCCTCTGTATAAAAGGGGGATTTTAGGGATGTGTTTGTGTGCGTAAACTTAGTATTTTCTTAAAATGTAAGAAGTGTACTTGAAAGAGAAAGTGTATGGATGTGCAGACGCATGCGTAGCACTTTCTTAAAATGTTCCTTTACTTAAAAGTGGAAATTTACGGATGTCAATAATTCACCCTATAAATGAGAAAGAATATATTCCGAAACGTCATGTTCCTCATAATGCAGCTACATCAATATATTTCCCCCTAAGTTACACCTATATCAGATATCGTGTCTGTACATATACCTCCGAAATTTAATGTACGTAGCGCCTTGAGCAGGCAATGTGCCTGGATATGAGCGCCATACAACTGACTGACTGGCTGAGTTTGGTTTTACGCCGCTTTTAGCAATATTCCAGCAACATCACGTCTGGGGACACCAGAAATGGGCTTCACACATTGTACCCATGTGGGGATGAGCGCCATACAAGCGGACTATTACTATTACCTCCAAACTTTAATGTACCGGTAGTGTAAAACATTGAGGTGAGGTGAAATTGGGTTTAACGTCGTGCTTGAGAATATTTCGCTCATATGACGACGTGCATGCGTGTGTATGTGCGGCTGCTTGTACTAGCCCAGACTTAAGCTGGTTTTATAGTGCTAGCCCACTGAGATACCATGCCGCAGTGAAGCATGAATACCCCACTCAGACACATTATACTGACTCCGAGCCGACCAGTCCTTGTTGTACCCATTAGTGCCGAGCGCCAGGAACCAACCAGTACCATATGTTAACGTGTTTTGGTATGATGCGGTCGGGGATCGAACCCGCGACCTTCCGCTCTCCGGGCGGACGCTCTAACCACTACACCACGGAGGCGGTCTGTAAAACATTGATGTATCAGTGAATGGTTTGATTGATTGTTGCTACACGCCGCACTCATCATGCCGTATCATGTCTCCATTTAAGGAAATGAAACTAACTTGCACCTAGTGCAACCTTAGGTAATAACCTTGCTAGTCCAGACAAAAACAGGTTGCACCTGCTGCTCTATATAAAATGATATATAATGGTTTGGTTTGGTTGTTGTTTAATGCCACACTCAGTAGTGCATCAGCTATCTGGCGGCGGTCTGTAAGTAATCGAGTCTGGACCAGACAATCCAGTGATCAACAGCATGAGCATCGATTGGGATACTATGGCATGTGTCAACGAAGTCAACGAGCCTGACCACCCGATCCCGTTAGTCGCCTCTTACGACAAGCATGGGTTGCTGAAGACCAATTCTAACCCAGATCTTGCAGGTATTCTAATGGCTAAATGGGTTGATGTATCAGTGAATGGTCCCACCACAAACTCATGAAAACGCTGGTGTCCTGTCAGGAAGATTTGTTTGCCTTGGTGTTACCCCTTCAGTCAACATTATTTAATAATGGGTATTAAAAAAGCGCTGTATCCATCCACAAGGGGGGATCTATGTGGAGACGGTCTGTGGAATCGACAATCAAGTGATTGGCATGCTGAGCATCGATGAATGCTATTTGGACACGATCACATGCATCAGCCAAGTAATTACTTATATACTTAACATATTTTGTTCGAATATAAAATGTGTCTAAGTCACAGTTTGTGTCAGCTCTTTTGTGTAAAAGTATGTTCACACACCACTCAGTTAATTATCAACACGCTGAAATGTAGACAAACATACAATATGGTTTGAACGTTTCATACCTCCGACGTGAAACTGCGGTGTGTATATACTGGATCAAATTAGTTAGGGATATATGTAAATTTTAAAATTATGAATAATTATCTATTCATTCATTGACACACTGATAAAATATCAATCATAAAAATAACAATATCCCTAACATATTTTGTCAAGTATATATACTCATGAGCATAAATTAAGCAGAACTTGAACCCACTGTTGGAGCACTTAAGAATTCAGCACCACAACGTCTCCCAATGGTCCAAACCATAACGTACTTACGTGTTCATATAAAGCATGATCTTCCTACAATACACTTGGTCGCATGTTCACGTGTAGTCTGTAGTCAATGAGACCCGTGAAGATCCGGGGTAGAATAGGTCTTCAGCAACCCATGCTTTCCACAAAAGGCAACAACGCTTGTCGTAAGAGGCGACTAACGGGATCGGGTGGTCAGGCTCGCTGACTTGGTTGACACATCGGTTCCCATTTGCGCCGATCGATGTGCATGCTGTTGATCACTGGATTGTCTGGTCCAGACTCGATTATTTACAGACCGCCGCAATATAGCTGGAATATTGCTGAGTGCGGCGTAAAACTAAACTCACTCACTCACAGTCAATGAACCACATTAGTTTCTTTACTGACTATGGCGGTGGAGTAGCCTAGTGGTTAAAACGTCCGCTCGTCACGCCGAAGACCCAGGTTCGATTTCCCACATGGATACAGTGTGTGATGCCCATTTCGGGTGTCCCCAGCCGTGATATTGCTGAAATATTACTAAACCGACGTAAAACTTGACTAACTCACTCTTAACTCGCTAGTCCTCCCTGCAATGTTAAATCCCTAAATGAAGCAAGTCTGGATATCCTCAGGTTCTGAATTTCCAATCTCACTAAGGCTCCACTTCAATTTAAATGGGTGTATGGGATACTATCAAATTATACATATTCAGAGACGATGCGTTAGTCTACTACTCCAGGGGCTGCAAAGGCGCCAAGCACAGCACATCGGGGTATAAATTTGCACCACAGCTTTCTGAACTCATTTAAAGAAAGACAGTACTAAAACAATCAACTTTTCTTGATGTGGCAAGTCGTACACGTTTAGAAAAATACACTATGTAAAGTTCTTGGCACACATGACGCAGGGATGTCCTGGAACAACGTCGTGGAACATTAACCACACGGTTATTAGTCGGCCTGCGGGGATGCACGTTTTTTTATATAGCTCTCAGATTACTAGTAAACTGTTACCAAATTTCAATTTCAGTTTTGGTTTCATAAAGGTAACCTATGTTTCAGTTACCATTTTAAAACGCAAAATTTTGTTTTCAAAACTTATACAACATGTAGTGGTTTAAATTCGTACCCCTCATATAAAAAAGTGGGTGATTTTTTATTACTGATCATGTATATAGTTATGCCAAGGAATTCCCTCAAGAGGTCTTCAGTGCTCTTCAAAAAATCGGTTGATCGTCCGACAAGCCAGCCCGTGAAGATCCGGGTTAGAATTGATCTTCAGTAACACATGCCTGTCGTAAGAGGTGACTAACGGGAGAACGGGATCGGGTAGTCAGGCTCGCTGACTTGGTCGACACATGCCATCGTATCCCAATTGCGTAGATCGAGGTATTTTTCAACTGCCCTCCTTCGTCGGGCAGTTAATGGAAGACCTCGGGCTTCTGCAAATGATACTGCCCTCAAACATAGCATTACCCTTATAATAATTGTACACAACGTTATAACTAGTGGAAGTTTCTCAACTAGTCACGTGACTTTGTTTCAGGGTTTTCACAGTGATAGCACCACGATAGCACAACTATCAACTATTTACATGATGTCAGCCATTCTAAAAAAAATATTTTTAGACAACATTGAGCAATCAATCAACGTATTGGCGGTTATTCATTTGAATAAAATAATAATCAGCATTATGTGTTACGCTTTATGACTACATGCATGGTCCGTCCCAAGTCTATACTCATTCAGTGTCGATATACGCTCGTCTTGGTTGCCAGGTTTTCTTGCTAAGCTTTATGTACTACTCGTTTTGACTACATGTCCGGAGAGAGATGTACACATTACTCTGTGATAACAGACTCTCCGAGAAAACTGTTAGACAATTTTAGTCATTTCTGCATTCTCAAATCTTGCAAAGCTTCGGGGTAATCTCAAGATTCAGATAGTCGGCAGTGTAGATTAGTAGCATTTGTAGGACATTTCCCTACCAAACATGAGATAGTGGGGTGTA